AAAAAATTTATTTGAGCAGGATTAAGGATCTGCCTGACCACAGAAGCACCCACAGAAAATAGTATCCAAGTGATGCCTAAAGGAGCAACTGGTCCCTGAATGCCCCTTTGCAACTTATTTCTTTAAACTAAGCCATTGCTGTGCTGCAGTTCCTCCAATACCTGTAAACTTCCAGCATACCCCTCCGCATCCCTAAGTATCTATTCTAGTCATTGTCATCACATGACTTGGTGGCATTTTCTTCACCTCCAGGTTAACCTGTTGACAATATATATCCTAACTTGCTATCTCAGAAGATGTGTCTTTACCACCTCCCTTATTCACCCACCAATTGCCAACAGGCTAATAACATATTCCATCTTCCTTCCTCCAGGATCTGCTCTATCAATCATGCTTGCCCCTCTTGGGACGCCAGACTCTCCACTCGGCCTTTTCCGACTTATCCCCTCTTCTTGACCTCTCCTGCCTCCCTGCCTCCTTTCACAACTTTTAAAGTATAAAAAAAGTGACAATGAGGTACCGCCAAAAAAGAAACTGGGGAGGGGAAGGAAATGAGAATTAAGCTAAAACCACGTATGGATCACATGTTATGGATAAAAGTAGAAATCTACAAGTTACTTTAAAGAGACTTAATGGTTCTAAGGTCATAAAGATTTGGTAAAAACAGGATAAGTAATATCAGCATAGTTACAGAAACAGCGTGGTAATTACCTAGAAGATAAGTTCAGAAATACAGTAAAGAAGAAACAAAGACAAAAGTATGGTGATAGAAATCAGAACATTGGTTGCCAGAGTAAAGGGATGGAGGAGATCGACTATAAAAAGGCAAAGGGGAACATTTTAGGGTAATGGAAATATTATAAATCTTGATTATGCTGAAAATTACAAGACGGCACACATTTGTCAAAACTTATCAAATTGCACTTGTAGAATTGGTAAATTTTACTGTAGGCAAATATAAGTCAACAAAGGTAATTTTAAAAGTATACCAGTTTTTATTAGAAGTAACAAGATTAGGAAGACATAGCTCACAACTGATTATCACATACCTATAGAAAAGACCCCCTGCTTAAGAAGCTGTATAATGAAAACATGTGCACCCTTCTGTTGTACCCCTCTAGGTCAGAGTGCCCTTCCCAGTCAGTGGTAGTTGCTCGGAAACTGCTTTTTTCTGGGAGTTTCTAGCCTGCACAGAAGGGTTACTGTATGACGTGTCACAGTAAAATTATCCTTTACTTTATTTGAATATACTGAGAATTTCCCTCTTGCTCAGAGTATACTCATGACGTTATAGCCTTTTCAGAGAGCTGAAAGGACACACACAAACTTCTTATTTGTTATAGATATCATCTCACGCACACTGAGCTTAAAATAACCAATAACAGCACTAAAAATATGTCCTTCACATTTCTTTCTCTATTTCACTGGGGGTGGGAGGGTAAGACAAAGAAAAAATATGCTCTAATTGTATCCAGAATGGATTTTTCTCTTTTATTAGGTTCAAATAACAAACCTAGGAAATTTCAAATCCTGGAAGGCCATCTGTCAGCAACTGGTTCCCCAGAGACCAAGAAAATGCTTTCATTTAGCTGAAGGCTGCTATAGGCAGCCACATACCCGCCTGAGAAAATACATCATTTTTTGCAAGTGTGAAAATGACTGCTAAGGGGAGTTGGAGCCCTAGTTACATGCCCCATTTCAGAGCCTTCAGCTCCAGCTGCAGGGACCAAATAAGACAGTGATGGCCCTGGGGATTTCAGAATTCAGTTTCTTTCTGACAGCCTCAGAAACCCCAGGCCACACTGAGGAAGAACTGCCTCCGTCACTAGCTCAAAAACATCTTCAATGGCAGGAGCCCAATCTTGGCTCCAAAGGAGTCCTTGCTGGCCCCTCACTTATCTTCCCTAAATGAGTGAATACTGCCATAAAAGGTAGCTCTAGACAAACAGCTGCAGGCAAAGAAACTCTCTTTATCTTGACTTAGCATCCCCCTAAGTTGCCTGCCTGCTCCCAGTTTAGTGGAATTTCTGACGTTGCAGCCCTGACCCCCATCTGCCCTGTCTCTTCCCACATCCCCCCAGCCTCACTTCTTGGCAACACCAAGACCGAACAGGCACAACATGATTCTACTGTTTATTTCGTATTCATGAATATGTTCAGAAATGTTTATTATTACCTAGATTTACAAATCATAATTTAGCATATCATTTCTGACATAAAATACAGAAAAGTCTAAAAGAAAAACATTCAGACCTTCAATAAGAGGTACATAGGTACAGTAAAATGGTGAGAAAGGAAACCCTCAGCTATTCTGAGATGCAAATACTAGGTGGTCAACAAGGTCCACACTCAAGCTCATCACTGCTAGAACTGTTACACCTGGTTCTCAGCACATGCAATTCAAATTTGTGCCTTAAACCTGGTGTAAATGGCCAAGGAGCCCCTGAGTCCAAAATACAGAAGGCCAAGACTGTTAAATCTCAGACCACTGAGGCTCCTGTGTCACCACCAGCACCTGTCTACCTGTTAGGTCCATCCAGCTCCACAGAGAGAGTGGCAACCCCAGGCTACATAAAGATCTCACTTTGACGAGCTGAGCCCACCTGCACAAGAATCAGAACAGACCCCTTGCTGTTGAAGGGTGCCCAGGCTTCATACCTGTGCAGAGTAATTTGGCTGAAATGAAGACATTCCAATTGAATGCTCCTGATGGCCAGAGGCACAACCTTTTTCTCCCCTGAAGGCTGGAAAGTTGTCTTTGTGTTGTGATGGAGTCCTGTTGGTTTTCATTTATATTTTTTAGTGTCACATTGCCTATTCTCTCCACCTCACAATTATAGGCCAGTCCCATTAAATCATGCCTAGATTCTTATGCTAACCCTTCCTTGCCTAGCTTCCGAGGCTCAACCCCAGGGGCCAGGTAGATAGACACTACACCACCACCTATATTTTCCTCTTATTTTTGAGAAACATCTGTGAGTCCCTTTGATCTAAAACATTGTATTAGTTCATTCTCATACTGCTATAAGGATACTACCCAACATTGGGTCATCTATAAACAAAGAAGGTTTAATTGACTCACAGTTATGCTTGGCTGGGGAGGCCTCAGGAAACTTATAATCACGGCAGAAAGAGAAGCAGACACCTTCTTCACCAGGAAGCGGAAGACAGCAGTACAAGCAGGTGAAATACCAGACACTTTTAAAACCATCAGATCTCGTGAGAACTCGCTCACTATCACGAGAATAGCAAGGAGAAACCGCCCCCACGATCCAATCACTTCCCGCTGGGTCCCTTGTCTGACACGTGGCAATTAGAGGGATTACAATTTAAGGTGAGATTGGAGTGGGACACAGCCAAACCCTATCAAATATCAACTCCAAATGTCTTGGCCCATCTTTGATTGTCCCCCTACCCCACACATCCTCTCTCACCAGTTTCCAGCACTTACCTTCAACTCCAGCTGGACAGATTTACTCACTTGTCCTTGTTTACTCTGATTGGTACTCAAATCTTTCCTCCCTGTCCAATTTTCTCCTTGCTTATCTCTGGTATAGAAACCACGCTCTCCGTTTTACTTTATGGCCCAGAACATGACTTAGGTTCTCAATGAAGCATTCCTGAAATGTCTTCGGCTGCCACTGTCTTTTCCTCCTTTTCTGGTGTCATAATGCCAACACAGGTTAGCACTTCATTGTTTGGAAACTGTTTCCACAAGTGTGTTTCTCTGAACTTTGAGACTTACCCTGTATCATTCTAATAGCTGCAGAGTGCTAGACACATGTGGGAGACTTCCCAATTGATTTCTGGGCTGAATAAATTTGAGAACAATTGTTTCCAGCTACTTTGTTGTATCTGAAAAAAAAATTATACTTAATCCACTCAGAGTGGTGGTCAAAATGCAGTAATCACCCTGTGAAATATTCCCATTTCCCATGCGATTTGACATTTTTACACAGGAGAACATCTCTCATCTTTTATACTGCTATTCCATGGCTTTGACAAATAGAGTTCACCTCAAATCTCCCTTCAAACCATATTTAAACCTCCCCCCTTCCAGCAAAGCCTCTAGGCTAGATCTCATTGAGCCAGTCAGTTTTGCTAATTTGTAACCAATTTTTGATTTACTAAATGCCAGCATTCAGCTGGAGGACAGATGGAAAAGCCGCAGGTAACTGCTGACCTTCTGATTAGAGGGATAAGATAACCATACCCGATTTCACATTCAGATTATCTACAGAGATTGGATATGAAAGATCTTTCCCAGGGTTACAGGGAGGAAAGAAAGCATATGGACCCAAAATGGCATGTGGCTAAAGGATTTATAAATTAATAGAAGGAGGGATTTATTATAACCTTCAAGGCAGATAAGAAATATGCTGGTGCTGTGCTCTTCTGAAAACCTGAATGCCATTCTGAGAAGGCTAGTTCTAACAGATAACTTTTATTCTCTAAATAAATAGAATATACTATTACCAATGAGGCCTTTTGTTCCTAATTAGAGGTACTAATGACTGCTATCACCAAAGCATCCTGAAAACCTGTGGCTGCTCTGTGGCGAGCAGGCCAACTTCAGGTTCAATTGTGCAATACAGGGTGTTTGATTTGGTTCCCTTCTCACCTCCCATTTTCTTTCCTCCTTCCTTTGTGTCCATATCTCTTCCAAATCCCTTTCCCAGACCCTTTGTGGATATCTCCCATATTAGCCATCTGTGATGGTTAATATTGAGTGTCAACTTGATTAGATTGAAGGGTGCAAAGTACTGATCCTGGGTGTGTTGGTGAGGGTGTTGCCAAAGGAGATTAACATTTGAGTCAGTGGACTGGGAAAGGCAGATTCACCTTCAATCTGGGTGGGCACTATTTAATAAGGGGACAGTGCATCCAGAATAAAAGCAAGCAGAAGAACGTGAAACGATTAGACTTGACTGGGCACAGTGGCACACACCTGTAATCCCAGAACTTTGGGAGGCCGAAGTGGGTGGATCACTTGAGGTCAGGAGTTCGTTCTAGACCAGTCTAGCCAAGACGGTGAAACCCTGTATCTACTAAAAATATAAAAATGAGCCCGGCATTTTGGTGTGTGCTTGTAATCTCAGCTACTTGGGAGGGTGAGGCAGGAGAATTGCTTGAACCTGGGAGGCATAGGTTGCAGTGAGCTGAGATCACACCATTGCACTCCAGCCTCGGTGACAGAGGGCAATTCCATCTCAAAAAAAAAAAAAAAAAAAAAATAGACTGCCTTAGCCTTCAAGCCTACATCTTTCTCCCATCCTGGATGTTTCTTGCCCTCAAACATCGGTTCAAAGTCCTTCAGCTTTGGGAACTTGGACTAGCTTCCTTGCTCCTCAGCTTGCAGATGGTCTATTGTGGTGCCTCACCTTGTGATCTTGTGAATTAATACACTCCTTAATACACTCCCCTTTATGTATACATCTATTCTATAGAATAGGAGTAGTGAGAGAGGGTATCTTTGTCTTGCGCCTGTTTTCAAAGGGAATGATTCTAGTTTTTGCCCATTCAGTATGATATTGGCTGTGGGTTTGTCATAAATAGCTCTTATTATTTTGAAATATGTTCCATCAATATCTAGTTTATTGAGAGTTTTTAGCATGAAGGGCTATGGAACCAAAAAAGAGCCTTCATAGCCAAGAGAATCCCAAGCAAAAAGGAGAATGCTGGAGACATTACACTACCTGACTTCAAACTATATTACAAGGCAACAGTAACAAAAACTTGGTACTGGTATCAAAACAGATATACAGACCAATAAAACAGAACGGAGCCCTCAGAAATAACCCCACACATCTATAACCATCCGATCTTTGACAAACCTGACAAAATCAAGCAATGAGAAAGGGATTCCGTATTCAGTAAATGGTGTTGGGAAAGCTAGCTAGCCATATGTTGAAAGCTGAAACTGGATCCCTTCCTTACACCTTATACAAAAATTAATTCAAGATGGATTAAAGGCTTAAACGTAAGACCTAAAACCATAAAAACCCTGTAAGAAAACCTAGGCAAAACCATTCTGGACATAGGCATGGGCGAGGACTTCATGACTAAAACACCAAAAGAAATGGCAACAAAAGCCAGGGTAGACAAATGGGATCGAATTACCAAAGAGCTTCTGCACAGCAAAGAAACTATCATCAGAGTGAACAGGTAACCTACAGAAAGGGAGAACATTTTTGCAGTCTATTCATCTGACAAAGAGCTAATAATCAGAGTCTATAAACAACTTAAACAAATTTACAAGAAAAAAAAAACCATCAAAAAGTGAGCAAAGGATATGAACAGACAATTCTCAAAAGAAGACATTTATCCAGCCAACAAACATGAAAAAAAGCTTGTCATCAAGGGCCATTAGAGAAATGCAAACCAAAACCACAGTGAGATATTATCTCACAGCAGTTAGAACAGCAATCATTAAAAAGTCAGAAAACAACAGATCCTGGAGAAGATGTGAAGAAATAGGAATGCTTATACACTGTTGGTGGGAGTGTAAATTAGTTCAACCATTGTGGAAGAGAGTGTGGTGATTCCTCAAGGATCTAGAACTAGAAATACCATTTGACCCAGCAATTCCATTACTGGGTATTCATCAAAAGGATTATAAATCATTCTACTATAAAGATACATGCACGCGTATGTTTATTTCAGCACTGTTCACAATAGCAGACTTGGAACCAACCCAAATGCCCATCAATGAAAGACTAGAGAAAGAAAATGTGGCACATATACACCATGGAATACTATGCAGCCATAAAAAAGGATGAGTTCATGTCCTTTTCAGGGACATGGATGAAGCAGGAAACTATCATTCTCAGCAAGCTAACACAAGAGCAGAAAACCAAGCACCACATGTTCTCACTCATAAGTGGGAGTTGAACAATGAGGAAAACATGGACACTGGGAGGGGAACATCACACACTGGGGCCTGTCGGGGGTGAGGGTCTGGGGGAGAGATATCCTTAGGAGAAATACCTAAAGTAAATGATAGGTTGATGGGGCGGCAAACCATCATGGCACATGTATACCTATGCAACAAACCTGCACATTTACCCCAAAAGTTAAAGTTTAAAAAAAAGACAGTTTCTGAAATTGTGTAGAGTTTCGTAGCCACAGACAAGGGGCTCTGATATGATTCTGAGGGGCTGCATCAGACAGGCATGGTGGGTGCCTCCAAAGATGAAGAGTAGTATCCAGGAATTAGTTGGGTGGGCTTCCAGTCTGAAGGATTATCTGGATTGGGGAAAAGCAACCAAGGTGAATCTGGAGAACCACTTTGTGATCAGTCATGTAGATGCTGTGTCTGGCTCGGCATAACGGGAGGGGAAGACTTTGCCTTTTCCAGAGTGTCTTCTGGGGAAGCCAGAAAAATGAGCTGCACTAACCTATCACAAATGAACTTCGGCCTCAACGGAAAACCAAGGCCTCCTGGATGGTTAGCAACAGAAAAAGCTAAATTTTCTTCTGTCGATTTCTTTTTTCTTTAAGTAAAAAGTGACTACTTGCTATTTATGTATGTCCCAAGGAAATGCAGAATTACATCTTTTATCACACTTTTTTCCCTATGAGTCTATTTTTATATTCACCACAGACTAGTAATATTTCTTCTTCAGAGATTGTCTAGAAAGATTGCACTGTCATTAGAAGTTTCATGTATTCACATTAGAATAATGTAGACCAAGTACAGACATGACAGCATGCCAAGGGTATTTGTGGACTGGAAAACATGACAAGCCACAGAGCCTGCATGAGATGTGCCAGAGAGTGCAAGAGGTGCGACTAGAAGGGCGAGTCTGGGCCTGCATGCCCAGGGGCCTCACTGTTGGATAGGAAGATTGAGTTACAACACTGGTGGAGCATTTTCTCGTTACCTCATTCAGGTGGCAGAGCAACCTCACAAGGCTGGTGTTTCACTTCTCCACATTTACAAGTGCAGAAACTGTGGCTCAGAGAAACTAAGTACCTTGCTCAAGATGAGAAATTAAGCCAATAACAGCTAGGATTTGAACTCACTCCTGAACACCTCAAAGTGTGTTGTACTCTTATCTCTACTGTTAAAAGAAAAACCTTAGACAAATTAAATTTAACAGAGTTTAATTGAGCAAAAAACCATTCTTGAATCAGGCATCCCTCAAGCCAGAACAGGTTCAGAAAAACTCTGGCACTGCCAGGTAGTTGAAGAAGATTTAGAGGAAGAAAAAGGAAAGTGACACAGAGGTACAGAAACAGTGGGGCTGGTTACAGCTCAGCATTTGCCATATTTAAATGTCGTTTAAACAGTTGGCCACCTTTGATTGGCACCAGAGTAGGTTATAGTCTGTTTACACATCCAATTACGTGTACATGATGCACGAAGAAACATTTAGACAGAACTTATAGTATGTAAGGAAACAACTTTAGGGTAAATTTTACTTAGCATGACCATGAAACATTCTATTCAGTTCGCGTTTAAACACTGGAGACACTGAAAGAGGTGATTTGGAAACATATAGGTGGCTGTTAGTGGAATAATTGAATACCATAAGCCCCGAAAGTAGGCTAAGAGCCATCTAGTTTTCTGTGTTTAGGGAAAGTTTTAGTTTGATATTAGCAGCCAAAAAAAAAAAAAGTATTCAATCCAAAAAGACTCTGAGAGAAGTGATTTCACACTCTTGAATAGTGGTGATACTTTTCTTTAATTGTTCTTGTTGTTAAGTATATCTGTTCATTAGCTTTACCTAAGTCCCTCTAGGTATGAAAGAATTCCTCCTACTTAACTGAATGATAAAACAAATGCCTCCATTGCCACTTTTATTTACGGCATAATTTTCTCATCTAAGTTCGTATATGCTCAATAACACTCTAAATGTGTTTATTCAAGCTCTTTTCTCCTAATTATTAAGTTTGAGTGTATTTCAAGGGACATTTACTCCAACTTTGAGTCATTTGCTTTGAGCTCATTCACATCTAGAAGTAGACTGCAAGAAATATTTGCTTTTTAGGTGGTATCAGAGCTACCACATTCCTTAGAACTTAGTTCATTGTGTCAGGAGAAAATGAAAATGTCTGTTTTCAAGCAAATTTTTGATCTTTGAGAATTAAAGAATGGGTTGTTGGCAAATGGCAGTTGCTTTCTAACTTTACTTTCTGTGCTAAAATTTGAGTCACTCCCCACACTTAAGAACACACAAAAGGCAAAGGAATGAGTTAATTTTGTTGGCTGTGTCACTCTCTCTTCTGCCCTATACTCATATCTCTGGGTCAGTATTCATGTTTTTGCCCTGAGGCCAAACTGTGCTCTTTTATTTTCATGTAGCACATTTCCACATGAACCTCTTAGAAAAAGACGTTCAGCATTCAATAAAGAAAAGCCAAGTCAGAAATAAATCATAATATTAAGTTACAGAGGAGCAAGGCTGAATACTGAACAACTGGTACACCATGATAACACAATTTAGGGCAGTCATAAGTAAAATCCAGGTCAGTGTCAGGAAGTCATGCAGGGTATTCCTTGCTGAACAAAGAGATACTATGTAAATTACAAATCAAATGAAGAGTACATGCAGGATATTTTATCCCATCTGCAGATCAGCCAACCTTCCTAGAAGCTCACAGATGATATTTTTCCCTGTACTCTTGGCACTAAAAAGTAAAATTCAAATAAGTGATCTTTCCACTGAGATGTATCCTCCACATTTGTTATTGAAATAGTTGAGAAGAATATACAACATTAGCCCTTACAGGAATAATGCAACGCCCAGGGCTGGATAGCAGAATATTTTAGATGTGAGGCATAATATGGTTTGGATTTTTGCTTTTTCCTTTGGATTTATGAATGAGTACAAAATTCCTAAAGACAAAGGTGATCTTGTACCCTAAATTAAATTTTTCTGCTGGCTATACAGGTAGGCATTCAATTTCTCCTAGTTGATTAATCAGGTATTGGGTGACCTGGTCCCTCCTAACTTCTCCAGGTTGTCTCCAGCCACTCACCTTCAGGCAGACCAAATTTTTCAAAACAGACTATGTTTTTGCAGGATGTTGTGCCTTGACACATCTGACCAGTTGTAGAACACCTACCCCGTGACTGCCTATGTGGTGAACAAAATCTTCCCTCTTCTGGGAATTTGTTTTATATCACCATGCCCCACAATATCTAGCTAATCTAATCAGTTGCATTGACTGGATAGAGGCCATTATTTAGTCATCTTCGTTCCTTTAAACCCAAGAAAAGGCCTGGAACTCTCTAGAAATTGCTAGATACATGTTTTTAGTATGCTGAATAAAAAGCTCTCTAATATGATGAAGTCATCAAGACTCCCACCACATTCACAGCCAAGAGAAATCTAATATTTCCAAGGTTTTTGGGGGAAAAAATCTCTTTAACACTCATTTTATTTGTATACCTGTTTTTACTTGGCTAGAGGTGAGACCAACATGTTTCATATCTTCTAAGAAATACAACTGAAAGTCTGTAAGTGGAAGGAAAAAAACCCAACATAACCCACAACATGTATATGATGCCTGTATTTGATGTGAGGTGGAGCTTTGAAACCCTCCATTGTTTAGATTCCATGATTACACAGCTACATTTATTTAATAAATATGTTATGTTAAAGACAAAGCTCTAATTACTTTTTGTAACTGGGAACTCTGTTGAAATGAACTTATGGAAACTTGTAGATTTTTATCTTGGCATCGTATCTATAAGTCAGCAAATATTCACTGGTGACTTACTGTGTGTTTGGTGCAATATAAAGCTAAACACGATTTTTTTTCTTATGCTGGTTGCCCCCAAAATTCCAGAAGTACAATTTTTCACTAGAAAGAAAAAAGAAACTCTTTTGCAGAAAGCAAAATTTAAGCCAAATAAGTCAACCTGGTAAACTTTACATTTTGAGGGTATTATGGAGAACATTCTGTGCCATTTTGAAGTAATTTACAGATTGTATGATACACGACACACTGATGTCCCCATCATTGCCTTCTACTGAAAGAGGGAAAATCAATTCTCTTCCCCTACATCTTGTCTTCCTAAGTCCTGCTAAATGTACACAATAGCAATTCTCTTTGGGGAGATTTTATCATGGCAGGAGAAGAGGATTGCTGATACAGTGGCATTAATAACTATTAAAGAAATGTAGGCTGAGATCGTGGAGGAAAATCTATCCTGACAAGCATCTCCTGAGAGGAATTATCATTCACTTAGACAGTTAAAACCCTCCCTCGCCACTCCATTCTACACATGCAGCCTGGTCATGAGGAATCCTCCACAAAGAAGGCCAGTTGTCCTGATTAGGTCTTTCTCCAAATTAATAGTGGATTCCCCGGGGTTTGCCTTCCTGATAAGCAAGAAAAGTTATAATCCAGTTTTGTCTTGCAGGAGGGAAAATAAAACTGGCTTTCTCAATGATGTGCATCCCCAGGGCCTTTGTGATGAATCAGCTTGCATAGATTCCTTCTTTGACCTTATTAAGGACAGACACAGCAGATAATTTTAATAATGCAGCCTTCAATAGATCAAGAGTATTGCTTCCAAAGACTGCAAAGCTGAAAAGACTGATTTATGTTGTTTCTTTGGGGAAGCGATCTGAGACTGCTATATGAAGGTGGAGCAATTTAACTAGAACTTGGAGAATAAAATGCTGGTCTTAATTTTTCTTTATGTTATCTGGGTGCCTTACACTACAAATTCAAAGCACACACTTACCCTGGCATTTGGAACCATAATCAGCTCATGATCAATGGAGCCCTAATGAGAACAGCCTGCTGAGAAGTCACAATAATCACCTTTTGGACAATCAATAGAGAAGGAAATGTGAAAATAGTTGGATATCAGGTATTTCTCTAATCACCCCTAATCAGAGGGGTGTGGTATGTATTCTAGAGACTTTTGATAAGTAGGCAATATTGGAAATTTTTGCAATAATTGCATAATTAAGATGAATGGCCTACATGGCCGGTGGTATATTAGATACCGGGACTGGAAACCACTTTCTAGGTTTGAAAGAAGTAACTAATCTTTCCTTGGTGCTGAATACTATAAATTAAGTGCTGAATTTAACTTTACCAGAAATAGACGTTTGAAAGAAGAA